GTGTTACCAAAACGTACTGGCATTTCTATATATTATAAGTTGTTAATCCAATTGATTTTTACCAATAATTACTCTATGAAAACGCCACAAATTCATTTCATGACTGATCTTAATTTTTGATTGGCTCACAGGGGAATTTACCGGCGTTTGACTGCCTCGACTGCACTTTTCTGCAGATTGATTTCGCAAAATTATTTATTCCAGTTAACTATGAAATGTGAGGTTAGGGTATACTATGGGGTGGAGTGGTAGTAGTAAGCACTTGCCCCGTTATTTTTGACGAACTGTTTAACTGAAAACCGTACAATATTAGCCGACTCTTAATAATGTGAAGTCTTAACTCGTTGAATAACGTGACAGTAAATATTTTTGCCCTACGTTCTAAAAGGTACAGTTCCACAGTTCAGAGCTAGAGATTCTTGTTGGGGATTATTTTAAACTTTCGCAGTTTTTCTCATTGTGGTAGACAGATTGGTTGTACATATTCGTACGTAACTTTTCTTGACACTAGTCACAGTTCTGTCAACCTATAAAGCTTTTAACTGATAAAAACGTCAGGCATAAGCCCGTAGCATAACCTCCTATCAGTCAGCGTGCTCGAAACGTCTTCTTAAATTTCTTTTTGATGCCATATATTTATGAATCTGTGCTACAAAGCTTAAGATGTCATATTAGTGATCACATCTCAACTTTACTGCTGACGTGGGACGTAACGCTGTCTTCATCGTCTTTTCTGTCAGACAGTGGGAAGTCATAAAATCTCTTTTAAAAGTTTTAGATGCTACGAAAGAAAACGTTGGAAGAGGTATTTTCTCGAACAACGTCTTCTGTTCTTTTCTGGGCACTGTACCAACCCATGATCTGATTTTATTGTTCTTTTCTATATAGAGCTTAGAATCGAGCAAGCACGAACTTTACATAGCGATTTGCAGCTTAAAATAACTTTGCAAAAGACAAAATATTCAATGTTGTAAAATGCTTGGAAAATCGCAGGGCATTGAACAGAGCAAATGTTTCATGAATTAGAAAATATTAAGGCTTTGAGCTCAATGTTAGTTCAACCTTACTTTCTGATCTCCTTAGGAATAGTAAAACCGAATAATAATCACTTTCATGAGATTTCTGAAAGACCGGAACAAGCTCTTAAATGCTATATACTACAGAAGTATTGTTAAGTAATAAGAACATAATGTATTCTATGTTTTTTAAGTACGAAAGATAAAATGTTGTCCATAGCTTTGAAGTATTGAAAGCAGAATGTTGTTCGTAGATGTTAACAATTTAAGCTAGCATGTTGACCATAGCTGTTAACCATGAAAGGTCAAATATAGTCCATAGCTGTTAATTATTGAAAACAGAATGGCATTCGTAGTTGTTAAGTATTGAAAGTAGAATGTCGTCTGTTGCTGTCAACTATTAAAGGTAATATGTCGTCTACAGCTGTTAAGTATTGAAAGCAGAATGTCGTCCGTAGATGTTAACTATTGTTGCGTCAGCGAGGTCACATGACTAGTGTCATGCCACGTTTCTAGAACTATCCTGTACCTTGGCGAATGCTCCACCATTTACTAGATATAGGGTAGACTGGTATATAAAAGAGGGTGACAACGTGACGGGATAATAATGTGTGTGTGTAGATAGTGAGTAACTGAACTGCAGTCAGAAGTATTGTTGACGTTCGTTGATATAGCGTTTGTTATAGAGCGACTGTTGAAAATAAGTGTATCGTAAAGTTATATTCGGAAAGAATAAACCAGTTTTATTAAGTAAGGACTTGTGTCGCTAAAGTTTCGTCGGAACGAAGTTACGGAAAATCAATCAACAAACGGAGACGTAACACTATTAAAGGTAAAATGTCGTCCATAGCTATTAAGTATTGAAAGTAGAATGTCGTCTGTTGCTGTCAACTATTAAAGACAATATGTCGTCCACAGCTGTTAAGTATTGAAAGCAGAATGTTGTCCGTAGATGTTAACTGTTAAAGGTAAAATGTCGTCCATAGCTATTAAGTATTGAAAGTAGAATGTTTTCCGTTGATGTTATGTATTAATTTATTTCACTGCACATATACGAGAAACACTGTACAGTTTTTGTTTTAGCATTGAAAAGTTTAATAATAACCATGAAGAAAGGATGTTCCCGTTCAAACTTCCAAAGCTTACCTGTTTCGTTCAAATTACCAATGGAATATTGAGACATATGATTTTTTTTTTATTGTGTACTTACAAATACATCTGGCACTGGGAGTGTTGTTCATCTATAAACGTGGTAATGAAAGAATTAAAGGCAAAATATCGTCTGTAGTTGTAAGAATTAAAGGAAACATGCCGTCCACAGCTCTTAAGTATCAAAGGCAGTATGTAATCTATAGTAGCAAAGTAATAAATGTAGAATGTTGTCCATGGAGAAAATACATTTATCTTAATTTTATTGCTTTACCATTCGCTATTTATCAGATTATTTTAACTTTACAGAGAAACAAGTCAGCAGAATTCAACTTGTTCAAATGAAATTACGTTTCTTCTTTTATGTTGCTAGTAAATAGATTTATGGTTGATGTGACTAACTGCGATATCGTTAATAAAAATATTGCAAACTGAATACAACGTACAGGGTGGCCCGAAAGTTAGTTGCTCCACGCATTTACACCTCTTTTGTGTGTATAACATATGATCTATAGCACCAAACTAATTGGTCCTTTGCCAGTCGGGCCCGGCATGGCCAGGTGGTTAGGGCGCTCGACTCGTAATCTGAGAGTCGCGGGTTCGAATCCCCGTCCCACCAAACATGCTCGCTCTTTCAGCCGTTGGTGGGTTATAATGTGATGGTGAATCCCACTATTCGTTGGTAAAAGAATAGCCCAAGAGTTGGTGGTGGGTGGTGATGACTAGCTGCCTTCCCTCTAGTCTTGCACTGCTAAATTAGGGACGGCTAGCTTTGCGCGAAATTCAAAACAAACAAACAAACCTTTGACAGTCTGAGTAATAACTGTATTTATGTGCTTTTCTTATATACTCATATGCTTACTGAAATAAATGGAAATTAAAAAGACTTAGTATACATATAATGATTACTTTAATAAATTATCATCAAACATTTTGAACTTTGAACCATTTCAGGAAATTGAACAAAAGCAAGTATATCTATTTATATGTATATTTTATTAGCTTTTAAAACCTTCAACCAAATGTATAGATAGATACATCTTAACAAATTAAGTACTAAAATATCCCAGAAAATTTTCAAAGTTAGTTCCATCCTTTTGACAAAGGACGGTTGCAGTAAATAATATTTAACTTACAGTGTGAAAGAACCGAATAGCTGAGGCGTGTCAGAAACAATTCGTTTAGTTTTAAATTACACTCACCTCCGCTTACTTGGCAGGTTAATTGCAAAGAATCTCCTTCGTTAAAGGGTCCAATCAAGCCTTTCAGCTGTCGACCTTGTTCATCGGTGATTACAGGTTCTCCCGAAGGAACTGGACAAGAAAACGGACAAAGATTATTAGATCGTAAAGGAGTAGTTTACCCACAACGAAACAACATTTTCCTTGAGTAACTTTTAATCAAGCAAAATGATCCATTGAACAATAGTATATATGTGATGTGTGGCGACTTCACAGGCCTATTACACAGTCAAAAAACTGGGGGAAAAAATACGGTTTAGTATATATTGAAAATTGATAAACAATTGATGAAATGGGTTTTTAAGTATAGATTTCAGATATTTGGTTTTAAATTGAACTGAAGAATTACCGATGATGTCCATACGGATATATTGTCTCTTTAAATCAAGTTTTTCTAAACTAGGTATGCACCAAACTGATTGTGGGTTTTATTAATAACTGAAGAGCTAATAGCATAGCGTCGCCACACACTAAAAACATAAAATACCATCAATTTTACAATTAATTCCACTAGTTACTTCTGTGGTCCCATATATATATCTAATATATACATCTAAGTTTGTGTCTGTTTGTTCGCACCTTTCAGCCCCTATATGAGTAGGCCTATTGAGATATGGAATCAGCGTACTCAGGTTTAATGTCTCAGACGTCACACTTTTAGTGCCAATGAAAACTTTGTAATATAATTTTCCCCACAGAAGACGGATCGGATTTTTGGTCTGATTTAAGTGGAAATGACGTCAAAAAAATGTATGTGTATTCTATAAAGAGGTGCGCTGCAGTTGTGGTGTCAGAATAAAAATCCATCAAACGCTGTCGCGTCTACTGACAAACAAGACTAACTTTTTTATAGAATAGACAAGTTAAGCCCGCGAAATTCTGCAAAACTGAATTGGTTTTTATTCACTTTATTTGGAGAGGGGAGTTTGGTATGATAAAAATTTCTTACGCTGATTATGTACCTCGTAGTAAAATGTCGAGAAAAAGAAGAAAAGAACAACAATTCGGATTGCCAATCACAAGCAGCAAAACTTATGTAACAAAAGTAACAAAGTGAGACTCCACAAGAAAGGTAAACACAGTAACAGAGTGAGATTCCACAAGAAAGGGAAACACAGTAACAGAGTGAGACTCCACAAGAAAGGTAAACACAGTAACAGAGTGAGACCCCACAAGAAAGGTAAACACAGTAACAGAGTGAGATTCCACAAGAAAGGGAAACACAGTAACAGAGTGAGACTCCACAAGAAAGGGAAACACAGTAACAGAGTGAGACTCCACAAGAAAGGGAAACACAGTAACAGAGTGAGACTCCACAAGAAAGGGAAACACAGTAACAGAGTGAGACCCCACAAGAAAGGGAAACACAGTAATAGAGTGAGACCCCACAAGAAAGGGAAACACGCCTTGAGAGACAACGAAAGTGACAAGCTGCTTATCGTCAAGCCGAGACTGAGCAAAAAGCGACAATTTTGCAGAGATAGTGACCGCATCCGCCATACAGAGCACCGTTCCCAAAAAGCATCAAGAACACGAGGTCTTCGTCGGTGAGGAAACAGAGAAAGATATAATTCATTCTAATCGGGGTCAGAACTGGGAAAAAGCTGCCTTCAACTACGACCACAGAAGAAATTATGCCTCTCACTTAACAATACAAATTGGAGCCTTGGAATTTGTACTTAAGCGGTTCCAGTTTCCCATTCGCACAAGTTTCGCTATGAGTATTAACAAAAGTCAATGGCAGACACTGAAAGTAGTCGGCCTGAATCTGAAAACATCGGTTTTTTCACATGACAATCTTTATCTTCTGGTTCTTCAGGGGAGGTCCAAAAATGTCGTTTATCCAGAGGCATTACAATGAGTGTAAAGTGGTGTGTATGTGTGTGTGAACTATATCTACGATTTTGTTTATTTTCTTTAATTTTTACACTCTTAAGCCATTTATCTCACAGAAAATATAATCACTTGATATGTATTGTTACATGAAAAACGAAATTTTGATGCTTTCTGTTTAAAAGTAGGTAAACATCGGCCCTCTGTTCAGGTAATACCCAGACAACGCCGGATAAGGACGGCTAGTGTTACATAAAAAAAATAATCATTTCACCCATTTTTTATTTTACTCTGGTTAATTCTTTGTAACAGGTAAAAACCACAAAATTATTGAATATGGTGCAATATGTGGTCCCCACTGATAGTGTACGGTGTAATACCTCCCGGTAAGTCTAAAATCCAGGGTTCGATTCCTCGTGGTGAATACAGTAGATAGCCCAGTGTGGCTTTGCTCTAAAACAAACAAAAAAAGAATGGGTAATTTGAGTGTGTGTTTTTCTTATAGCAAAGCCACATCGATGGACACAGCAGATAGCCTGATGTGGGTTTGTTATATATATATATCATAATATATATAACGCATAATGTTATGAAAAGATCACGTGTTTCATATAAACTTTCTGGTGTAGGCCTTTAATCTCTTCAGTGTAGAGTTACTGAAGTGGTCAAAACTTACCGATTTTTGAAAACACTTTTGGTTAAACTTTTTGTGCAGCAAATTGCTTGTGGGTCTATGATGTTGTTGTTTTCAGGGTTTTAATAATAAGGGCTTAGCGTGGCTCAGTGGTTAGCGTGCCGGAATGTAGATCAGAAGTTTTGTAGTTCACGCCACATTATCGTCAAGAAATAAATTCACGCTCCACACTTGTGGACTGTAGGTGCGCTGTAAGACTGACGATCAACTTTTACTATTTTATTAGATTAGCTCTCGATATGGCGATGGGTGGTGTTGATTAAATGTTTACTCTCTGGTCGATCACTTCAAAATCAGGAAAGGCTAGCGCAGATAATACTCGAATAGCTTTTGTGAAATTCATCAACGACAGTCTAAGAATAAATAGCCCCTCCCCC